AAAAAAAATTCCGAAAACAAGATATGTTATGAAGAAAAATAAACTAAACAAGATTTGCCTGAGAATTACATCCAAATTCCTTGCCAAATTTGAAATAAAAATAAAATACGAAAAACAAATACTAATAATAAAAATAAAAAAAATAAAAAAAGAATTAAATTTAGTGAGTTCGCGAGCACGTTTTCGACACCGCCATCTTTGGCGATTTTTCATTTTTTTTTGGGATAGCTAAATGCTCTGAAAATTTACATATATGTACTTCACATAATGCAAAACACACAAAAAGTTTCAAAAAATAATAAAATCTTTGGCGATTTTTAATTCTTATTTGGCTGACGCAAATGACTTGAAAATTTATAGGCGTGTACCTCACGTCGTAAAGAGCTCATAAAAAACAATTCAGAAAAAAAAAAATATTTTTTGGCCCCGAAATAATTTTTGGCGGGGGCCGAACACCGTCGGGTTCGGACCTCGTACGGGACCCCGAACGCCCGTACGTACAGAGGTCTGCCCGGGGACCTCCGTACGTACGGGCTGGTAACCCTGTATGGCTTTATAACAATGTTTCCAATGCGGATATGACAGCAGACATTCGAGAACTCGAATGCCTCATCCAAAAATCCCAACACACCCGCCAACGTTACACAGCACAACCTCGTGACCCATTTACGGACCATATTAAGGTCGTACATGTGCATGAGGTAGTTCGTGCCACGAACTTGCGCCATGTGTTGCAGTTACCAGAAGTAGCTGCATTGCACCCTGACCCKCAAGCGGCCGCACATGTTCGTGTATGTGACAAGTTGATGCCACCCACACRTGTCCAATTTTGCAACTTTAGTGATGTGGCATTGAGTGTTGCTCCTGACATGACCTTACCAGACTCCTTGAACTGCGAATGCCGCAAGGCCTTTCCGCATTGTTCAGATCTTGTGGACGGYCATGTTGTCTCTGTTGATTACAATATCATCTCAGACGATAACCTTCGCAAGCTTTTTCAAGAAGGTTCTAAATATCGTTTGAACGGGGAGACTGCTGATGTGCTCCAAGCACTGGCGATCGGACTGGATGAGTACATTGCTAGTTACAAGAATACTTTTGCTAGACACTCTCGATCTGCTTCTTTCTCGTCCCTTTCTCAGAAATTGCACAGTTGGCGTTCTGCAATTCTTGGGCATTGTCAATCCAATGCGACTTCGTCTTCCAATCATGTGAGCTAGCAACATTCACTTCGTTGTGCACATGCCTCCTTACGCCATCTGTAACAACACTTTGCCATTGTCCCTGTGGACAAATCATCCCACATTTGGCAATTTGTTGCAAGAATTGGTATTTGTTTCACCTCTCTACCCATTTGGACAGTCCCACTTATACTCGTCCTCATGAATCCGTTGCTGATGTGCTCAACCGCCATGCACTATGGAATCACCATTGGGGTTATACCCACACTGATACCCKGCCTTACCTATACTATGTGTTGAAAGCCCACAAGTCTCCTCCAGCTCTTCGCAACATTCTTGGAGGCACAACACAGTCCTGGCCCCCCACGCACTCGCTCTCGTCCTTCWATTCGCACCATTCATGAACGACCTCCTCACAAACCCTTGGCTAGCACAATGGTTACTTCGTCCTGTCTCAACACTGCTTTGCAAGGCGTGATCTCTGCTCTTCGTGAGAAGGACACTGAGCTCTATCAACAGGAAGGTGTTCGACGGTGCTGGATCGTCCAGAGTGCCGATGACTCGCCGCGATGAGGTGGCGATTGACCTGAAAAACAATGTGTCCTCTCTACGTGGCCTCTCTCCTCGCACGGTTGATTTCACCACAATGTACACCAACCTTCCTCATGACCGCATTCTGAATAATGTGGCAAAGGTTGTTGATGAAGCTCATGCTTATGCCCTTCAGCATACCCGCATGCATTCGCGCTGCAGAGCCTTGAACATGTTTA